TCTATACCCGAAACATGTTTTGAACGGGGTCTAACCCTAAATAAACCCAAAACCCGTAAACCCCAAAAACCCTATAAACCCTAACTAACCCTATGAACACCAACAACAACACCAACATCACCACCAACACCAACACCACCATCATCACCACCACCAACAACAACCACCACCACCACAAAGTCACAACCACAACCACCGCCACCACCACCACCACCACCACCAACAACAACACCACGAACACGAACACCAATAACATACATTAGAACAGCAGCAGCAGCAACAACAACGACAACAACAGCAACACACAAAAACAACGACCACAACCAACACCGACCAAGAATGCAAAACCCTGCCCGACACAACAACACCTTCCGTGACTGGCGATAGGCTCGGAAGCACGCAGCACAGAACACTCCAGAAGGGTAGACCAAGCTCACTCGCCGTGAGTCTCACTCTTCCTCGCCGGCTCCGGGTCGTGTGTCCGGCCTCTCGGCACTCTCGATCATGGACGGGCCATGGAAGCCAAACCAGAGGGCTCTCCCATCAGGGTCGGCCATGGAATTGCTTCCCCGAAGGGCGCTGCCAAGAAAGAGGTCCACACTAGCATCACCGGGTCTTTGGAGAGCCCTCCTGCACGGCCAACCGCGAGGTCCAGCCCCACCCATCTCACACAATCCAGTCGTCGGAGTGGTTACCGACACGGGGCCAGCTGAGCTGCCTTTCGTGCCGGATCATGAGAGGACGGGTAGCTAACTGAAAGTGTCTGGCACCACCTCCTTGCCAACAACACCAGTGCACGGAAGACCACCCGAACAAAAACAACCCGATCACCCCGCCCCCCGGCAGGCCCCAACATACCAACTTCACCAACAAGCCAGGCAGAAACAAACCATCAACGACATCGCTATTAAACCAATAATTCCCTCCCGACACTTAAACCTGACAAACTTTAAAAAACAAGGATACCATACAATGATTCCACAGCACCCTCGCCGCCCGAAACCTAGTCCTTTTTCAACCTTTTGCCTTTTGTTTAATCTTTGGGACCCTGAAACCCTAAGCTCCTATCAAGCTGAGGTTGCCTAGCTCAGATCCAAGAGGTGCCTGCTAGCCTTTAGCTTTCCTGTCACTGAGGGCGAACACTCTCACCACAGCTAGAGACCTTTGCATAAAAAAAAACCCGCTCTGGGCGACACCCTTCAATTCACTTAGACCCCACTCCCCTTAACCCACAGGGGCACCTCTCTTCAAGTCATCAGGCGGCTCCACGAGTCCATTGCTGTGATTGCTAGAGGGTCCAAATGGACCCCTCCAGAAACCCTCAACACTATCACAAGTCCACTACGGCCACATGCCAATACTCCCTTCTAAGGCCCTGCTCCCCTCACTGTCCCAAGCCCGCTGCACGAACCGTTAAATCACAAGGCTCTGGAACTTAGGTCGTGTAGTCGCAGCGGCATTTCTCATGGATTGCGAATCTTTCCACACGCTATTTGCCACCTCTGTGGTCCCCACAATACACGACGCCGAGGGTAGGTATCTGGAAAAACTGTACGGAACCCCACTTCCAAGCAACCGTCAAACAACACCCGACTTGAAGCCCCCTTCCGACAAGTTGAGGAGCAGCACAGCTTGAGTGCGCTGAGTAAAACCCACACCGCACTCTCGCTCAATTCGCATGTATAAATGTATTCCAACCTCAACAGCGTCAACGTCCCAAACTTTGCAGTCTCAAACCCTCCAGACCTGCAGCCTCTAAATCCGAAATGCCCTAACAGCAAGGATCCCCGACACTCTCAAGCCCTCACCACAGATACCTCCAACTTTACAGGTTTTTCAGATGCAAGAACTGACGAAAACATCGACTCCAAACGCCTCAACCCTAACCTGCTAAACCCTGAACGTGAGGCATGGGATGCTGAACAGGTGCTCTGCCCGATCGAAGGCGGGGCGTTAAGCAGTGCGCTGTCTCGGGGGTCACAACAAGCACCTTGGCAGGGCAGGCAACATAAAATCACTGAAACAATAGGCCAGAAGGCATTTCGTTGGAGTCGTAGGCCATGGCGGCGTCTGCCGTGATCTTCATCGCACCTGAAGCAGTCAAACCCATCGGCTGATGCACCGTAATGGTACAAGTGGCCTTGCAGTTCTAGCCTAACCGCAACCGTGACTTTTTGGGGGAACCTCTTCTGGGCCCAAGCAACCAATCGAAACTGCCGGCGGCTTTGGGGGATGCCTTGAGACTTGGGGTTCATGCTTCAGGGAAGCAAACCTTCCGTTGACAAACAACCAGACAAACAAACAAGCAACGACAGCTAGACAGATAGGTACTCAGACAGACAGATAGATGGATAGATAGATCGGTAGCTACAACATCCTGTTTCCCCTAAACAGGGTTTCGGCGCTCACTAAAGGCGAAGCATGTGGTTCTAACAGGGTTTCGGCTCACACACTCGCAAAGCAGGCATGGCGATAAGTGTCCGAGGTTGCTACGTGGATATGCTGGGCCATGCCGACAGGGGGCATGTTCACGATCGTCCCAAGCATGAACGAACATGACACAACAGGGTATATAGCTATAGGCTATAGGCCACAAATATAGAAAATCTAACAGGGTTTAGGGTTTACGCTTACCCCAAACCCTAAATTTAAACCCTAAACCGCCAACATCCGAATTCGCAAAACTCGAAAACCTCCGAGTAAATTGTGCGAAGACGGTCCATGCCTCCGCATTGGCTGGACATCACGGCATATGTGGCAGGGGCTGCTCTGCTTTGTCAGCTAATCTGGATTGCGGTCTCTTGCTGTTATGGTAGACTAAGATCATCGAAAGCATGGCAGTGGATATCAAGAGATTGTTTTCTTAAGCTGCAATTTCGAGCCGCATGAAAGCAGTGGCTGTGAATGGAGTCTGTGCGAAGCACGCATATGAGCCGGCGCATGTCTCTCACAGGGAAGTCGGTGGGAAGGCTACCCCGTGATCCAGTATCCACTCAGGCACCAAGGGCATGCGATCATCATTTTTGGGCTCCCGCTCATGATCCGGCCGCGACCATTCCGACCAACTTCGCCGCAAGTTTCAACAGCTCCGCCCTGTGGCGTCCTCGCTGGTGACCGTCTCGGCTTCGGCTGTATCATCGTTTTGTAGCGCCATTGACGCATCTGTCGGCTGACGGCCTGGACCGCCTCTGGTGACACAAACGGACTGGAGGTCTCACTTTCAAGGGACAGCACGTCGCTCTGCAGCGCCAAGAAAGCCTCCAAGGATCAATCAGCTGAGTGCATCCCATAACTTTCTCTCCTATACGGGCTAGCTGCTTAGCTAGCCCGAAAAGACTGCAGGACCAAGTGCGGGCACAGACTAAGCATGCAAGGCCGTTGCGACATCACTACTGCTGAGGTTCGCCGAGAAGGTGCGAAAATTGAACGCACAGGCAACGACGCTTATTCAGGCTGACTGGAGTGTGGGGTCATGCAGACATGCAAACTTATTCATGCTGCCAACCGTACATCTGCTGGTTGCAAGATTAAGATTAGGCGACACATGACATCGCATTGTAACATACTATGCTGCAAATTATGCTGTACTAATTTTACCTACTATTCTAGTCTATTCTGTTCGAATATTAAGTTATACTTAAGTCATAGTGTACTATCTTATATCATCTGATATTATCACCAAAAACACTCTACTTTCATAATCTTTGACGCATTCCAGCCGATGAATGGGCCCCGGCATACATAAACCTGGTCCAAACCAAGTAAGGCGGTACCGGGTTGACGCACCTGTTTCGCAACGCTCAAAGGAGCCCTTGGAATAATCGTTCATAGAACCTGGATCGCAGACCTCAGAGCAACCCTTTTACACTGACCCCTTTGTCACTCTTAAAAGCAAGACCGGGCTGAGAAAACCATTCGGAGCCTAAACAGTGTCATTCCTCAAGCCTTTGTTGTAATCCCCTTGAGCGGGGCCCGTAAAAGAACCCCATTCTGATGATTAAGGCCCCAGCATTAATTGGGAGCCACACCTCCTGGAGTTTCTTCAGGGAGCGAAGCTTCTGCCTTCTGCGGCTTTTGTAAAGGTTTCGAAGGTTTGGGGATTTGGGGGGGTTCAGGCTGTAGGGTGGATGTAGGAGAAATTCGAAGCCTGGCGCTGTTGGCTTCGGCTGAGGTGCTGCAACGCTTGATGTGGAGCGGCAGAAGAAAGGCAGAAAAACAAACGAGGGGAGGCGCGGCCGGATTGAGGGTCTCCGACGGTGCAGAATCCCTCTGTCTGTCTCTTTCTTTATTTGTCCGTGGGGATGTGCCAAACGGTATTGTGCTATGAACTCTCCTGCTGATGTTGTGAATCTTTCGCTGCAAACCACTCATGTCGGAGCCATTGGGAGCCATATGGACTGAGTGCATGACTCCGGCTTTTGACGAGCTTACCGCGAATTCCTCCCACACTTTCAAGCGATACACTGCTTCTGCGAAGCGCTCAGCTTTCTTCAACGGCAAGTTGTCCTGGAAGTTTTCGTCGCTCGAGTTTCCGAGCTTCTCCGAGAATTCGCGACGCTGGAAGCCTGCTTTGCAAGAATGCCGGCTGCCAAAGCTGGTAGATACCTCGCCATGGAGATCTATCTGCCACAGCTTACATCCGTCGTTTTTACATAAGATTAGCAATGCAGGTGCTGCTGTTAGGCCTGCCTTTGTGTTTCGAGCCGCTGTTCGCTTGGAAGCCGTCATCCTCGCAGGCAGAAGCAAAATCGCCGATGCTGTCGCACTTCGAAACCATCGAATCTTCGCAATGCCAAAGCACTTAGAGGTACAGGTTCATGGCTCTGTCGCTCAGGCCAGGGCTTTGCAGCTTCTGTAGGGTCCGCGTCTTGGGCTTGAACCTGAAGCTGTGACACCGACGACACTGCAGAACTTTCCGCTAACATTCCCCAAGACCACCAAAGTTCCGAGCACGAGCTTTGATCCGGACCTGTGATGCGGCGTTTGAGCAGCTCACGCGCTTGAGGCTCTGAGCAAATCAAGCAAGACGGCCCCACATCCATACATGCTTGCAAGATTTTGGAACCACTGGCTTCTTAGTGTTATCCCTGTTGGCAGAAGGCCTTGTCAGCGTGCTCGTTGGCCGTCCTGAAAGGCCTCATAAAGCGGAACTAACAGTGTAGCCGCCGCATCATGTCTTAGCAGCGCGAGTGCCGGGCATGCCCATGACATCGGGCTCTGGACGCTTGCCGTGCACGTAGCCGGTGTAGCCAGGCCTCGGATTAGGGCCGTTCACACGTGCACTTCCCACTGCAAGGGATGGTGACGAGGCGAGAATTCAATCGTGCATCCAAGCCTCGCGCTCGAAACGGTTAGGTTATGCTTGTGTGTCGAACGCTCCTGACTGAAGCTGAGTGCCTTGATGTTCTAAGGTTCGAGAATTGATTAAGGTTCTGTTATCTTTGGAAATGTTTTGGATTTTCTGTTGCCCTCGCCGGGGTATTTAAAGTTCGAAAAGTCTAAAGTCCCGGCAGGGCCCTCCAAATCTACGCCAGTACGTGCAAAGGAACCGACATTTTGGGGGTGCTTTCACGCTCGAGGTTTCTTGAGTCCCAGCAGGGCGGGACGATTTCGAAGACAAGCTGGGAGGAATGATTTTGGGGCTGCTGTCAAAACTCACGAGGTGCCTCAAGTCCTAATATGAGGCTCCTCGGACTTATCGTGCTGTCTGTTCAACCCGCCGGTAAATATGCGGTTGATATGCTTCCGAAACCCGCCCCGTGATACAACGGGGGCCCTTGATCAGATCTTTTCAGCCCGCACGCTCAGTAGGCGACTGCGGGACATCACATTTCTTGTCTTATCTGTCGTAAACCCACCCCTCATTGGATCTGATTGGCAATGCGGTTGATCACATGTCATATACGCCCCCGGTCACAAGGCGAAGCTTGCCCGTTCATCAGGCCACTAGGCCCCTGGGCCCAACGGAGCATCGGGTGCTTGCTGGCCTTCCTAGGTGGGTGGGACTTTTGGGACGGCACTGAGACAGGTTCTCCCCGTCCAGGAGCACCCACCTGCCTGCCACCTCGCTCCCTCCGTGAGGTGACAGGGGCATCTCCCGTTTGTTCCTTTCGCCCCGCTTCTCCCGTGTTTATTTGGCACCTTGGCTGCAGTATTACCCCCTCTTGAACCCTTTGCGCAGGGCGGCCGTGACGTTTTCGGAGCTGCCCTACGATGCGGGGGGCGGCAACGGTTCTTACTGGTTGTCTTCACTACCACCACCAGCAGGCCACTAGGATTCTTCATTCGGCGATAGCAGGTACTCACAGTTCCTCAGCCCGCCCACTCATCAAAAGGCGATGGCTGATGATCACATGTCGTAAACCCGCCCCTGCATTAGGCAATCACTCCCTCAATCAAAAAAGCAAGAAGCAACATGCAGGATAAGCCACAGCCACAGTAGCAGAACAAAAATGGCTGAAAGCGGAAAGCAAAAGAACCAAGCAAACAAAGCAAGAACGAACACCAACGGCGTAAGACGAAAAGCTGAAAGCAACTTCAACGAGGAAGGAAGCCAAATAACAAGAAGGTCAGGCCGGGAACCCAAAAACCAAACCGTTCTTGAGGCATTGCGGAGAAAGCGAGCCAGTGTAGCGTCGCATGTCGGGAGATCGCAATCAAGCGGACGCAATAATTGAATAGATTTAACATTTGCTCGGAGGGACGGACGAGAAAGACAGACGCCCCGGAGGGTGCAATCAGCCCGCGCGCCGGCAATGACAGGAAGAACAATGGAATCTAACAAAGGTTGATTGTTTTTTTTTTAGGCCTGCTCTAGCGCGCGCGTGTGCACTGCTTGTGATCGCTTGTGCACCGCCGCTTCGTTTGCACGCGGACCGCAGGGCTGAAAGGGGTTCCCTGCACAGGTTTACCCAACAAATTCAGAGATTCGGTCTGCGAGGCACTTGATGCTTTCTCTTTCGAGTCTGTCTTCTAGCGTTTGCACTTCCGACCGACATCCACAGTCCACCATGTCAACCCAACGAGACTGGAGTAGAGCAGGCAAGCTTTCTGACCGTACGTGTGCGGCGTAATCTTACGACAGGGCTGGAACTCAAACTGTAGTAGTATCATGGCTATGTCCATGCATCAATCGAACGGAGGTTCGGGTTCGTGGGTGCCACAAGAGGACCGAAGAGGACCGAATCGGTCCGTTTGTTTCTTCACGGGACATCCACGCGGGTACACTCACTGTCTAGCATCTGACGCGACGCGTAGGTGTTCCGACATGTTCTGAACAACTGGCAGTTCCAGCATCAGCCAACTCCGTCCACGGCAGTGTCAACCCGTGAACGCTCGATGCCCTGGTCCGTCCCTCGTCCGCGGTAGCGTCACCCAGCAATGCTCGTCGCCCTTAGCCGTCTACCTGCAGCGTCTAAGCTGTGTCCACACGTAACACATAGCCTGTCCACAAGCGTCACCGGGCCAACGCTCAGCGCCCTAGCTTTCCCAGTCGGTCAACGGCAGCGTCACCCCGCGAATGCTCTGCACCATGAAAATGCCCAGGCCCCGTCCACGGAAACAACAGCCTTCGTCATCAACGGCAGCGTCACGTTACCCCGCAAACGCTCGGTCTGCCCGAGACTCCGTCCACGGTAACGGCACCCACGGACCTGACGGCCTTAAACAAGAACCTAATCCTCGAGGGGGTTTGGAGAAAAAACAACTAACACAAGTTCAAAATCAAAGACCTCCATTTAAACCCCGCCACCACTGAAAAATAACAGTGCCGAATCCCAAGATGCGGCAAACTCATGACCTCGGCGCTTTCAAGCGGCAGCACTCCACCAGCTGATGGCCACAACTGGAAACTTTAAAGCAGCAACTTGTGTACAGGTTTACACCCCCCCGCTTGACATTGTGCTCCATGTCACGAACTGGTATTTCAGTGTTCAGTGCTTTCGAGCATATGACACCACATTTTCTCTTGGTTGAACAGAATTATTTGTACGGATAAGATGAGCAAAGTCTGCATGTGCACATAAAGCATACCATGTGGGTCGAGATGCGACTCAGCCACGCAGGGTCAGTCGCGGCTGTGCCCTTTGCCTGTAAGGTCCCGGCACGGCTTTTCCTTCCGCGGCACCCGCCCTGCGACGTGCTGAGACCTGAATATCTTGATGCAGCTTTTCAGTTGGACGCGATCGCTTAATTTTCGGAACACATCACGATTCCTACTATACTTCATATACTTGCCTGACCATACGGGGCAGAAGTCACCGGAATCTGCCATGCGCGGGAAGCTTGCGAAGTTAATCGAAGTCACGCGTATGTCCGGCATCTCTGACCCTTCCACTTATAGTGTCAGATAATATCCACCCTAGAACATAATGGAACATGCTATTACCTCATACTGCTTTTGCTCGCCTGCATGGCGGGCTTTGTCCATATTGTCTATGTAGGCGAAACCATGTGCATACGGCAGGCTTTTTCTGTGCAAGTCCTACCATACCAGCTGCAAAACAAAGCTTTTATCTGGCTCCAAGATTGGACTGGCGATCGACTTTTTTCACTTTGGACAGTCGCCGCATCGTCTCTGCGGCACACTGCAGATTCAGCCCCATCACCACTCGATAGACTCATCGCAAGTTGCAACAACATGCTGAAACACATGAAGCTTCTCCGGGATTTGGGAAGGATATGTCCGAGTCCTTTTCCAAACTGCTGAAGCAGCCTCATCGAAGGCTGGCTGCGCAGTAGGGTTTTGCCTGCCGCAAAGCTTGGGCGAAAGGATGTTGGAAACAGGTGTCCGATGCTGCTTTTCCTTGCACGGCACCCGCCCCGCTACGCGCTGAGACCTGAATATCTTGATGCAGCTTCTCAGTTGGACGCGATCGCTTAATTTTCGGAACACATCACGCTTCCTACTATACTTCATATACTTGCCTTACCATACTGGGCAGAGGTCACCGGAATCTGCCATGCGCGGGAAGCTTGCGAAGTTAATCGAAGTTACGCGTGTGTCCGGCATCTCTGACCCTTCCACTTAGTGTCAGATGATATCCAGGTCGACGGTGCTGCGTCTGAAGCATGCTGACACCAAACACCCTAGCACATAATGGAACATGCTATTACCTCAAACTGCTTTTGCTCGCCTGCATCGCGGGCTTTGCCCGTATTGTCTATGTAGGCGAAACCATGTGCATACGGCAGGCTTTTTCTGTGCAAGTCCTACCATACCAGCTGCAAAACAAAGCTTTTATCTGGCTCCAAGATTGGACTGGCGATCGACTTTTTTCACTTTGGACAGTCGCCGCATCGTCTCTGCGGCACACTGCAGATTCAGCCCCATCACCACTCGATAGACTCATCGCAAGTTGCAACAACATGCTGAAACACATGAAGCTTCTCCGGGATTTGGGAAGGATATGTCCGAGTTTTTTTCCAAACTGCTAAGGCAGCCTCATCGAAGGCTGGCTGCGCAGTAGGTTCTTGCCTGCCGCAAAGGTTGGGCGAATGCTGCGACAACTTTCTTGAAGAGCTGGCTGCAACTGGCTCTTTCAGTGTTCAGCCCACCCGCTTCATGCCGTGCCTCAGGCGCATACTGTCGGTGAATGAGGCGGAGCTCGTCGGCATGCTGCGCCATCCTGTGCTGCGTCTTGATGCTGCAATCTGCTCTCAGTCAGTGCCACTTGCCGTCACACTGGCTCCGGAGGTTATGAGGCTTCATCATTGCCTGTTGCGTGGGTCCGATGACGAGACAGGACATGCCGCTCTGTTTGGGTGCGGCTTTCCGCGAGCTCCTATGATGCAAAGTCGTTTCTGGGCTCGGAGTCACGCCGCGACAGCTCTCAACCAGACACTCGTGAATCAAAGGCGCGACGCAACACAGCAAACGCAAGTCTGCCAAGAATCTGTGAAGGAGCAAAACCTCGGTACAAAGAAATGGCCACAGTCCACATGTCTGCGAAAAGGCTGAATCGGATTCAATCTCTGTCGCTTGGGAAGGACTGCCTGGAGCTTGAGAGAAATTTTTGCAAGATTAGGAGCAGCAATTTGTCCGTTGTGGCACAAACACATGGGGCCACATGAATCTGCATCGTGCGCTTGCGCAAATACTGGGGCACCTGGGCTGCAGAAGTTGGGCGGGACTGTGTCCTTGAGCACACCCTGCCGGCGGAACCCTAAGCGAGCCTTTTGCGCGTCGTGCTTAATCGCAGTCGGCGCACAGCGCGAACACGAAAAGTCGAAAAACACGAACAACGCGACACCCGATACTAATTATACGATTACCATTACTATTACTATTACTACCACTAAGCCCTTTGTCCAGGGGGGGTGCCCAAAGCTTTGGGTGCTCGCCTACACGCCAAGGGCACATTGGATTGAATCGAGACGTGTGCAGCTTGATGGGAATGGCTTCTGGTGCCATTTGGCGGAGGTGGCCCCTTACGTGCTGCCGGTGCGTGATGTGCGTGAGTGTGGTGGGCTCTAGAGAAACTAGATTGCTTCGTCTCCGTGCTTGCATCCCTTGCTTAGTATCCTGGCGTGGGATCACCAGAAGAGCTTTGGGTCAATGATGCGTGCTGTCTTGCCAAGTGTTCCATCCAACGCGCCGGATTGAGTATATCTTGCTCTTTCTGGTTGGCGGGGCAAGCACGCGGAGAGTTGGGTGATGCATCAAGCATGGATGAGGGGGGCCACGGTTGGCCCTTTAAGCCTTCGGGCCGGAGTGGCCGCTGTGTGGTAACAGGGCCGAGCGCACCCTGGTCGACCACACACACATACTACTACTGCTGCTGCTGCTGCTGCTACTACTACTACTACTACTACTACTACTACTACTCTACTACTAAGGGTTTCGGCTGGAGCTTGAGCTGTTGCGTAGCGCCTGGCACAGTGAGGGTTGATGGCTTTGCGTTGCTTACTGTTTGCTGGTGCGCTTATCTGCATGATGAGTACAGGCGGCTCTGATTTTTCGACAGCCCAGCCGCGGGGGTCCCAATTCCCCCGAACTGCTACCAAGAATGCTATTGTACGAGAAGATGCTGAGCAGTTGAACCCGAAGGTTTGTGGCCGTTCCACCGCGGCCCTGCCACCTTCTGTTTCGAGGGGGGAAAAACTCTGGAAAGGGGCCTCGAACCGGTCCTACCTTGAATAACAGTCGAAAGCGGGCGTATCGAAGAGCGCGGCAACGAGCCGAACAGTCTGGAGGGACTTGGTATCGGAACAGATGGTGCAGCGCGCACTCTCTGGGTGTACAGCATCGACCAGGTCAAGGATCATCTGCGGTGGCTACATTGAAACCGCCGCCCGGACACAAGGGGCAACCGCGTCTCAAGATACTTAGTTATAACATCGGAGGAGTCTCAAGCGAATGCTATGATTTCGTAAAGGATTGGCTGCACAACAGATGCCGCGCGGACGTGGTGGTCATTCAAGAAACACACCACGGTCTCGGCCGTTCCGACGGTCACTGGCAGCTGCCAGGGTGGATCGTCGTGACGACTGCAGACGAGAAGCAGCGCTACAGTGGGCTTGCGGTTTTTCTTCGTAAATCGGTGTTCTCAGACGATCAGATCAGTACGGTGACGTGGATCCCTGGGCGCCTGCTGCACGTACGGTGCACAACCTCGCAGCTTTCAGTGGATGTGGTAGCGGCCTATCAATGGGTTTGGCAGTCGCAGCACAGGGATCAGATCACCAGGAAACGCGCTGATTTCTGGACCAAGCTGGGCACGCTTCTACAGGGACTGCCGGCACGAAACATGCTGGTTGTTTGCGCTGATCTGAACACGCACTGCAGACCTATGGCGGGTCACGTTGGCCGAGGAGTGCTTCATACTACCAGGACACCGGATGCTGAGTTTGAAGAGCTAGTTCGGGATCAGGGTCTTGTGCTTTTGAATACTTGGAGTCGGGCTCAACCTTCTGCTTGCGGGACCTTTCGGAATGGCGGAGTCATTACACAAATAGACTTTGTTATAACGAGGAAACGACATGCAGATGCCCTCGCACGGACTGCTCAGCCCATCGCGCTAGATTTGGCGCCTTGGCGCCTTGGCCCGAAGCATCATGCTGTCTCTGCATCCCTGCCATGGACACCAGGGTGGAGAATAGCCCCTAAGGCCCAACTTAGGTTCTCCCTCCAGGCACTCCGATGGGGAGTCCAGAATAACACTGCTGAGGCGCAGGAACTCCGTCGAGTAGTGAAGTCCACGGCAGAGGAGCTTGTCCAAGACGGTCAGTGTAGTTTCAAAGAGTTCAGTCGCCGAATCCTCCCGCACTGCCAGCGACTCTTTCCCTCTAAGCCTAAACCTACCCCTACCCTTGCAAGCACGGACGCCGTTAAGCAAGCGATTGAACATGTGTGGAGTGTGTATAGGTCGCACACTCCACACACACTGCGTACGCAGTTCCAGACTGCTGCAGCCTCAGCTAATAGGCAAGCTGAACTAAAGCGGGCTGGTAGGGCGCTTCGGGCCGCTGGCCAACACAGGCGGCGCCAGTGGCTCGAAGAGCAGCTGAGTATCGCGGAGCAAGCGGCATCTAAGAATGATTTAGGTTCGGTTTATCGGGTTATAAATGCCATCGCACCTAAGAAAAGAAGGGAGAAGGTGCGAATACGCTCATCGCAAGGCCATCTTCTCTCGGTCGAGCAAGAGTTCCAGGAGATACATAGGTACTTCAAACAGGCTTTCAGCACTAGTAGCCAATACCAACTCCCGGTTGCGCCTGCTTTGCTCAGCTTCACGGAAACCGAGATTGGAGACGCGGTGCGTCAGCTCAAGGCTGGTAAGGCTGTCCCCGAGACCAGCCTGTTCATCCGGAGTCAATGTCCAGACTCAGTGAAAGTATCTTTAATGCCAGTAATGTGCTGGGAGATCAATACCCGGAAGAAGCAACCTGTTGCTCGCTTGCGTTGCTGCCAAAGCCCGGGAAGACAGGTCGTCGCCCACAGGATCTTAGGCCCCTGGGGTTACAAGATCCTAGTGCAAAGGTATTGGCCCTGGTACTCAGAACCCGCACCATGCCGTATGTGCAAGGTTACATCAATGCTAGACCCCAATTTGCCTACTGTCCGGGTAAAGCATTGGATGATGCGGTCTGTCGCGTGGCCTCTCATTGCAAACAAGTACGCAGTCGTATACAAGCCGGCACACTCAGTGTGCACGACCGACGGGCGGGTCGTCGAGCGAGCACCTGCTTTGGCGGATTGATGTTGAGTGTGGATTTAAGCCGAGCGTTTGATGAGCTTCCACGCACCTCATTGGAGGCAGCTATGACGCATGCGGGGGTACCCAAGGACCTCCAAGTGGCTATCTTGGCTATTCACGAGCGTTGCAACTACACTGTACGTCACGGCCCCCACAGCCAGACCTTTTCTTTAGCCAAAGGAGTCCGACAAGGCTGTGTCTTAAGTCCTTTGCTGTTCACCCTTTACAGTTGCTGGATTTACGATCAGCTTGTTGAGCAGACTGATGCTGGTTGGGCCGAACGGCTTGTAACGCTTTACGCAGATGACAGCCATGCGTCATTTGCCATTGAGGAGCTGTCAGACCTTGGCTTTGCGTTGCGCGCAATCCGAGCCCTCTTTCGCCTGTTCGAGTCCACGGGAATGAAGGTGAATGCCACCAAATCCTGCGTTGTACTAGGGCTCAGAGGCAGTGCGGCGCGCCGTTGGGTCAAGCGTCATGCTTGTTTTGTGGATGGAAAGCCGGCGCTCAGCTTAGGCGTCCCCGGTTCGCCTCTTATCATCCCACGTGCCAACCAAATGGCTTACCTTGGCATAGTGGTCTCTTATGGGAGGCTTGAGCTTCAAACGTATGAGCACAGACTCAAGGCGGCCATCCATAACAGGCAGCGCCTGCTCCGTACATTGCATGCCAAGCGGCTCTCCCTTAAATGCAGGGTCAGGCTTTACATTGCCTGTGTACGAAGCACACTGATGTTCGGGCTTCACACAGTTGGCCTCACCTCGGAGGTTGTTCGAAGACTTGAGGCGTATGATGCTCGAGCTCTTAGAGCCATCGCTAACTCGCCGGTGCATCTTACAAGGGAAAGCAACTCCAGGCTGAAAGCCGTCTCGCCAAGAGAAGCGCTCAGCAAGATGCTCAGCAGGAGAATCCGGTTTAGCCAGCAAGCTCATAGTGCTAGTTGGTTCACGGCGGTGCTTGCTGAACTGGGGACCATGCCAGTAGAGGACTCACCCCTTGTTGAACGTGACGCTGAGGATGGTTTTAGGGGGGTGCCTTGTCCGGACTGCGGAATCTACTTTACGCACCATAGACACATGCGATCTCATAGAGCCCGAGTTCATAAACCTACCTCTACCACCAACCCCGCTCAGCCTGATGCCGCGACCGAGCCTCGACAGAAGCCTAAGGGGGTGCTGACTGCTACAGAGTATACCAAGTACGCACTGGATGGTATGCCTACCTGTCGGTTTTGTAGGGAAACCTTTCAGCGAGTTGAAGGGCTCAAGAAGCACATCAATGGTGGTTGCCCTGCTGTACAATCGTCACTTTCACTTTCATCCTTGCAGACAGCACCCATAGCCTCGGCGGCCTCCCCCGCAGAAGTACAGGTCGCTTCTGTGGGTGTTGAGGGTCACGGCAATGAGGGCCGCCCCTCAGAGGTCGTCGAGCCGGTCCTTGTAGCTGTGCAGCCGCTGTATGAGTCCGCTC